TATAAAACAGATGACAAGTCTCTTTAAAAGAAACAGAAGTACAGTACTTTTGAAATAAAATGCTGTTAGTTTGGATTTCTTTTTTATATATATAATATTCATACAATTATCTGATGTTTGCCTTCATTAATAAAGCTGTTAGTTTATTCACCAAAATGTCAAGAATGGATGTGCTTTTCTTTATTCCACACATTTAAAAATATTTTAGCTGCTAAGATTTAGTTACCTTTCTAAGAGACGAATTCCAGTTGCCTTCAGCAGAAATTTAACAAATAGTTAGGTTCCCTTTCTTTATATAGTCTTCCTGAAATTTTGTTTAAGTGTTTTCTAGTTAAGTATGTGACAGAATGTTAGCATCTCTCCAAATCTTGAAACTTGAATTTTGAGGATGCATTGAATCGTGCTCTCAGTGTTGACGCGACAGGGTTCAGTCGGCGTTCTTGTGAAGTCTGTTGTGGAACAGCACTTCCCATGGAACTGAGGCCATGTCCACAGCTCCGCACACAACTCCAGTCTCGCTCTTCCCTTGAATCATGACAGACAAGTCTCACACAGTGCCGTAATTCTTGTGGATTCTTTTGTAATCTTTGTAATCTTAATAAGGGCATTATGAGAAGATGACTCCATGTTTTTTTACTATTTCAAACACATTGGGATGTAACAATGAATGTCCCCGGTAGGGATGGTTGTTTCGTTTTAAGGAATAAGCTCGTGGGGAGAGGTGGTGAAACGTACTACTGAGAGTTTTATACTCCCGTAGGCAAGTGGGGCTATGTGTTGAAGCATAACCCTCACGCCTAGTAAACTGACTGAAGTAGAAATTACACCTGGGGTTTGAATTCTGCCAAATTGCCATTTTTGTTTAGAAAAGAGAGATTTGGGGGTAGTCGTGAGGGAACAGAACCTTAAAACTACTTCCAAATAGTATCTTGGAGACTTGGTGACTGGTCCAGAACATCGGAGTAGGGTATTTCAGGTGCCAAGTTTGGGTGAACTACGTTTGCCTCTTTTCATAGCAATGTAAACACAATGGCGTAGTTAATTAAATCCTGGGTGGGTGGGAGCGGGACTGATCCCTGCGTCTTGCCCTTCGCCCTTTGTTTTTTTCCCAGAACCAAATAACAGAAATGTGTATGTGTGTACTGTATCTGCCTTCCTACCGCGTTTTTATGACACTGTATTCCACTGCCTGCCTTTTTTACCTCCTTCCCCTAGGATTGGTCCTATAACTTAGTACTTGTGGGTAACAGTCACGCTAAGGCTGACCGTGCATAAGAAGTCACAGAGAAGAGCAGAAGGGCAAGAATTCAAAGCATTTGTTCATACAATGTGGCAACCTCTCTCGCATAGCTGCGTAGGGTCCTGTTTGTAACGCTGTCATATTCTGTAGTTTTGTTCCCCTGCCCCACCCCCCGCCCCCCAACTGGAGCTTTGAAACCTTTTATTGGATTCAGTCTTGTCTTTTGTCTAGAAAGAATTTTATCTTGTTGACGCATGAGCTGTTTAAAAATTATTCTATTAAATGTTGGTTAATAGTTGTGCAGTTTTTCTTTTCTGAAGAAAAGGCAATTCACACGTTGCCTTTGTTTTCTGTCGCCTTCCAGTCCCTCAGCACTTCTAGTCAGATACAGATCCATCCGTGTATGCAACATCCTTTGTAATTTAAAATAAAAAAAAGATGACAAGAAAAGGTTTTGGCTTGTTTGCCTCATGTTTTCGCCCTGCCTGTCTCTGTGGCTTCCCTCCGAACGGCAGACAGCAGAGAACTTTAGTGAAATTCTATTTACGTAGAACTGTTGATAAACACTTGCATTCTTCGTAGCTGGGAGCACAGTTTATTTATACTTATTTCTCCTCTTTGATTCTTTAAGCAAGCAAGTTCTCTGAGGGAAATAAACTATTTTGAGTCTCTGAGTAAGAATGCATAGAGCCTAAGTCGGGCACCTGAGCGAGCCCCGCCGTTGCAGCGTGTACCTCCAGCTGACGGACAGACTTGTCCTTGTGCCAGCTGCTGGGCTCTGACGAGGTGAGAGCGCCCTCCGGGGCCTTCCAGGCTGCGGGGGGGCGCTGGGGGGCAGCCTGTGGACGGGATCGCAGGACAACACAAGAGTTGTTACATGGGGGGACAGGTGCCACATCGCAAGGGGGCGGGGCGCGGTGTTAGCAATTGAAGGGCTTGTGTTCCCGGCATCCCTGAAGAAGCCCTTTTGCTTCACTTGAGTGACTCTGAGGCTGTTGGGACGCAAAGTGGACATGGCCTTGCGTGAACTCGGCCTGCTCCAGGACTTGACCTCTCAAGCCCACGCCTCACAGGAGCCTCCGCCACGGTCCAGGACCTTGAAGGAGCGGAGTGAGCCAGGTCAGCGTGGCTCTTAGGAAACTAACGCTCCTGGGAGTGACGCGCAGTCAGGTGGGTGGTTCACCGGCGTGCACTCGGAACCAGGGGAGCCCAGCCACCAAGGAAAACGCTGGGTGGGATATACTTTAACCTCCCGGCTGGAAGGTCAGGACAGCAAGGAGTCAGGAAGTCCTAGAAGGCTAGGGTGGCATTCACGAACCCCTGCTGGGTGCTGTCTCATCAGGGGACTCTGCTGCTGCTCTCAGGGGCCCCGTGAGGTGGGTAGTCATCAGACCAGACGCAGACGAGGGGACTCACTCCAGACCCAGCTCAGGGGGTGCAGAGCGCCAATTCCGGCTCCAGTGGGCTTGCGGGGCTCAGAGACCACCCGTATTCACCTCTAGGGGACCCGGCCCCAGCCCAGGCAGTTACTGGGGTGGGTGTCTGTGTAGGAGAGAGAGAAGGGGCTTAGAATATGAAAACCAGAAAGAACTAAAGCCAAAACCCAGCAGACGGAGGAACCAAAAGCTAGTCTCAGGATCAGAGTGTAAAAGCGATGGACACAAAACAGCGCTGGCAGTTGGGAGAGTGGGTCGCCGAATGGCACACCTGTCCCTCCCAGACAGCCTATCTAGCTGGCGGGCTTAGAATTAGAAGGGACTGTGTTGAAGGAGGGAGAAAAGGGGAGCTGTATTTTCTGCTTTAATTGCAGAGAGATGCAGTCGGGGACTGTTGATTACGTGGGCATTTCCAGCAAGAAGCAGGATGTTAAAGGGGCCCAAGGTCATGTGGGCAGATCTGCTGCTTGCAGGCTTCGGGCTTCTTCACTGTCCTATAGAAGGAGCTGCTTATTGTGTGAAGGTCCAGGGCATTTGACCTGAATAATGTCAACCTACGGTTCTTTAAAAAGTTTTAATCTTAACATTACTAGGAATTTACAAAATGTACAAGATCTAAAGAAATCTTGAAAATACGATGAAAGATACAGAAAACTGGAACAAATGCAAAGACAGACCAAGTGCTTGAACAGGAGCAGCCAATAACAAAACCATCCTCCTATATTAAATAAAACATATAATGCCATCCCAACAAAGACGTACCAATAGGGTTAAAAAAAAAATATGTTCACATGGGGGAAAATAATAGATGGGAGATGCTGGGGGAGGAAATGGGGTGTTTAATCCCTAACATGTTAAAACATATAAAACTTTCATAATTAAAAGTGTCATTTTGTCACGTGAATGACTAGACAGGCTAACAAAACAAATACATTCCAATGTAAGAATGTAGTGTGGTAAATGTGGTATCTTGAGCCAATGAGGAAAAGATGGATTCTTCAAAAAATGATGTTGGATAAAGTAAGGTTGGCTCTATACCTCACACCATATGCCACCATATATTTCAAAATGGGTAAAGATCTAAAGGTTAAAAAAAGATAAACAATTCCTGTTGGTGGAAGGCCTTCCAAACTTGGACCCCAAATCCAGAAGTATAAGTGAAGATTGATAAACTTTATGTGAAACAAAAAGAAAAAAAAAAAATTTTTTTTTTAACCATTAAGGCCAAAAAAACACTAAGCCAACTCTAAATTCTATAGACAGAAAAAAAGCTCACGGCTAAGGGCTAATCCTAATATAGAAAAGAGCTCTTGGGAACTGACAGAAAGAAGACCAACAAGCCAATAGAGGAATGAGCAGACAACAAAGACAACTCTCAATCTCATTCATGATAAGAAAAATGCAAATTTTAAAATGGCATTTTTCACTGAATCGGGTTGGCAAAACACCCCGTGTTTAACACGCCAGGTTGCCGAGGCCGTGGGAAGAAGCAAGGCATTGGTAACACACGCTGGTGGGAGTGTCAGCTCCCACAGGTAAAACCTCTGTGAAGAGCAGTTTGGTGGCATGGGTCAGAACGCTTAAATGCCCACGTCCTTGGACCTGGCGATTCCAGCTGCCCTGGGCAAGTCGTCATGCCCTGTGCCGGTTTCCTCGTGCGTAAAATGGGGATAATTCTATCTCATGGGGCTGTTGTGAGAGTTAAGTTAGATGATACACATACAGCAGTTAGTACAAAACGCTTGGTACAGAGGAAGCGCTCCCAAACTGTCGGTAATGTAATAATAGCAGCCGGCGGGCACTGCCTTCTTCCCGGAGGCCACCTTCCCCACCCGGGCTGGGGGCTTTTCACGTCTTATTGAATCCCCAGCCGACCCCGTGCGTACCACCAGGTGGCCTCTGAGGGCACTGAGGCACGGAGACGTGGTGTGGGTTCGCTGTAAAATATGAAACATACAAGGAAACTTAAAGAAACATAAAAACTTGTCAGTGTCACCTTCCAGAGGCACCCCAGTGGAGATTTTTCTTCCAGTCTTCTCCCCCACCCCTCAATGCAAAAAAAATAAAAAAATCTGTAGTCGTTAGAATGGCTGATCGGCGGAAGAGGAGAGGCCACTGTGAAAGCATTCTTGACATGCCCCTCTTCTCTTCCTCTTCGTATTTTTGGACCGCAGCAAGAAGCGAGAACGATTTAACCGCGACGTGTCGCGGAAAGTCCCCAAGACTCGGTGCCGCCACTCTCGCTGGCCTCAGGCCGGTCTCTAGGGGGCGCTGTAGCAAGACCGGGCGACGAGAAAACGCGTTTGAGCTTGGCCACCGCCGCTGCCCGTAGTCGGCGTCTCCAACATGGCTGTTACCCAAGATGTCCACGTCCGGATCTGCAACCAAGAGATTGTCAAATTCGACCTGGAGGTGAAGGCACTTATCCAGGTACTGATTCCCGGGGCCCCTGCTGGTCTCCCACTGCCCTAAACCCGAGCTCCGCTAGCCTCCTGTGAACTCCGCGGTGTCACTCCCGAGCTTTCCCCACTTGGTCAAGTCTCCTTGGTCGCTGGCCCCGCTGTATGGTTGGCTACCTGCAGTCTGGCTCCCTTTAGTCCCTTCTCCTTGACCGTTGGTCTTGAGCCTCCATCCGGGTGCCGTTGGCTCGCCCTTTTCCGGGACACTCACGGGTCCCCCTTCCCTGGCCAGGCTTCCCTTTGGTGGCCCTGCTTGATCCCTCCCATTCGGACCCTTGGGTGTTGCCTCGCCCTGGACCACCTTACAAGGTACTCGTCACCCTGTTCAGCCCCGCCTTCTGATACGGCGCTCCCCACCGTTCGCTTGCGTTCTCGAGGCGTTAGCCCCGCCCCCTGCCGGCCAGCTCCGCTGGGTCTTGTGCCCCGTGGCACCCAGGGCCACCTGGCACTGGAGGCACCGGATGAAATGAACGTTACCTGGACGTAGTTGTGATTTTGTAAACGAGGAAATCGAGTGAACCGGCAAGGACCGAATCTGAAGGCAGATAGTGGCAGAACTGGGCGTTAGTCTAGAGAAGGGACTTAGAGAGGCCATGGAGGTGCTTCGGCTTACTTAAGTCATTTAAGGGCAGGAGAAAGTAGTGCAGTAAACCAATTGGCATAGGCAAGAGTTAGGAATGTAGAAATGGTTCCTTAAGTTTGACAAAAAGAAACCAAGAGTTTCAAACCTTGGTTTTAGGCCAATCATTTCCATTTCCAATAAATGTTATTAAACACTAGATAGAGATTGGGAGTTTGCAACTAGCTGGGGCAAAAGGTGAAGGAAAGTAGGGCCCTCACCGAAACCAGATGCAAAATAAACTGAATTACTGGTTTATCATGTGGTGCCAGGAAGTGTGATTTAATGAGTAAGCCAGGAACAAATGAGGAAACGATGCAGTCCTTCAAACTTCTTGAACTTTCCTTCTCCCATGTGTAAGCTACAAACACCGGGCTAATTCTAAACTCTAAGGAAAAAGATCAATTGTAGCAGGATTCATTACACTCTCACTGTGTTCCGCCTCCTCTGCTGAATGCTTTATGTACATACTTGGTCTGTGAAGTAGGTAATATGATAAGGAAACCGAGGCACAGAGACATCAAGTGATTTTTTCCCCCAGGGTCGCATAGCTAATAAATACACAGCCAGAATCTGAGTCAACACAGTGTGGCTCCAGGACCTGCTCTAAAACCTGGCTCCCATAATTCTGACTGTCCAGAAACAAATCTAAGTCTGTCCTCAGATATGTCTATAAGCACTGTGATTCATAAGAAATAGAGGGTTTGTCAAATGAGATTGAGGTTAATCTTATCACATGGTGCCAGGAATTTAGCGCCCCAATTTTCAAAGACCTAAGGTTATTAGCATCAGTCTGGGATTTATTTCCATCTTAGCTGAACACACAAGCTACTTTAAAGCTTTCAGAGTTGCCGGGAGGCATTGTGTTAAACTTGAGGAACTAACTAATAAGACAGAGTTGTGTTTCTATGCTTTTATATTACCTACTCAAAGTTAATTTAAAGAGGGAGGAGAAAGATGTAAATAACAATGTGTCTGCTTGTGTGGCAGAGGTAAACAGCAAAGATCAGGGTGATTACAGTCAGTGGGCCAGCCTGAGTTGCGGGCACTGTACCAGTGGGGTCCGTTCCATTTCTTTGCCTTGAGAAAGTCCCCCCATCTCTTCAATGTCTCCTAGGACATTCGGGATTGTTCGGGACCATTAAGTGCACTTACTGAACTGAACACTAACGTGAAGGAGAAGTTTCGAGAGTTGCGGCACAGAATACAGGTGAGCGGCTGCAGAGCTGTGATGCTAGGAATGGGGCCCAAGGACGGGCCTGGGTCCTCGGACTGACCTCTGCCCGAGAGCTGGCCAGGTTCTTCGGTGAACGGTTAGGCACTGAGGGAGACTGTCCTAACCTGAGTACGGAGCACTGCCAGCTGTGTTAAGTGGATGGCAGGGACACCGTTGTCCTTGGAATTTCCAATTTATAAACTCTGAGGTCACTTGAACTACTTCCTTTTCTCACCCACTCACCTGAGTCCATCACCGGTGTCGCCTGAGGTTTTTTTCAGGCTCTCGCTTTGCCCAGCCTCCTCCTCTCTGTTTCGTAGTCACCAGTCACATCATATCCATATACGACGCTCCTGAATTCGACTCTGGTATACAAGGTCTGTCCAGAAAAAGCCCAGCCATCGTTAACATGATGAGAACAGTTTGTGCAGCATGGATGTAACCTGGCAGCCAAGGAGAGTGAACTGGAATGCACGTGTGTGAACAATGATGACTTCACTGTAGTAGTCAGTGGGGGCAGTAGACGCCATTGAGTGAGCATGTGTGTTGTATGGCCATTGCATTCAAAATGACTGAGCGAGGAGAGCGACAAATGTGCATCAGATTTTACATTAAGCTTGAACATTCCTCCGTGGAAACTATTTAGATGGTCCAGAAGGCCGCAGCTGTGGGCAGCTGTGATTGGCAGCTTCATCCCAGCAATGTGCCCACTCACGCATCACGCCTGGTGCGGAGTTTTTTGTGGAACATCAAATCACCCAGGTGACTCAGTCCCCGCTGCAGCCCAGATTTGGTGACCTGTGACTTCCGGCTTTCCCCAAAACTAAACTCACCTTTGGAAGGGAAGAGATTTCAGACCGTTGATGAGATTCAGGAAAATGTGATTGGGGCAGCTGATGGCCATTGGGAGACCTGTACAAGGAGGGGACTGAAGTTCTGAAGAAGAACTTCAAAGTAGGGGAGTGAGGTGTCATTGTCCTATGTACAATGTTTCTTGTATCTTCTTCAAGAAATGTCTTTTCCCATATGACTTGGCGGGATACCTTCTGGACAGACCTCGTATGTGCCATCTCAAAAACAACCAAGCAAGAAGCTCCAGGTTGGACAGTGTAGGTGTTTCTGTTCCGGTGCCTTCAGTGAGGGTGACTCGGGTGGCAGGGACCTGCCCGTCTCCAGGCGGGTGCTGGGCACCCAGTCTCTCTGCGTCTGTAAATGGGGTGTAAAGGCATGAGCTCTTCATGTCGCGTGGCCCCAGAGGCCAAGCCAGCAGCCGCTGTTGCTTAACACAAAGAGACAGTCCGTTCCAAAGCTGGTAGAAAGACTGGTCGTCTGGACCCTCAGAAGCAGTCCATCTGTGTCCCGCGTGTGGCTTCACAAAGGGATTTGCAAGGGCAGGTTGGAAAATAGGCAGTTTTTGATATTCCCATGATGTCTAAGAATGGGCCCAGTCTCCCGTTTCGTGTTTTTGTCCCTTTTTGTTTCAGGCACGCGCCGCGTTACAGGAGGCCCCCCACTCCAGGGCAGCCGCACTGTGCCGGCTGAGCCCCCTCCTCACTGTGGGGTCTTGGGCTTGTCCCTGTGACCTTCTTGCAGCCTCAGCTATGCATTTAAAAGGATGTGTGCAGTGTGTCACCTGGTGTTCCTAGGGGTCCTGCTCCGGGAGGGTTTTCAAGTGCGAGCTCTGGCCTGGCTGCAAGGAGACATGCTCTCTGGGTTTCGTGTTGGCTTTAAACTCATTTTAATACAGAGCAGTTTTCCCCCATAGGAGCTTGAGCAGTTGGCTAAAGAGCAAGACAAAGAGTCGGAGAAGCAGGCGCTGCTGCAGGAGGTGGAGAACCACAAAAAGCAGATGCTCAGGTAGGCGGCCTGGCCTCCTGCGGCCGCCCCTGCTGGCCCTCGTGCCCCCGGGAGTCGTGTGCCTAAGGGACTTGGGTTTCATGACTTCATTGTATCATTTATATGCGGACCGAATGTTCCCTCTAGATCAGTAATTTCCAAAGAAAAGGGCAAGCAGGAGCTGTCGGGTAGGCGGAACTGGGCAGTTTTACAAAGGCACATTTAATGTTACACTGTATTTTATGTTTCTACAACAAAACCGAAACAATGGTTGCTTTTGTAATATAGGAGCTTTCTATCTAAGGAGAATTGGGACCAGAAAAAGCCCACTGAAAGCGAACCTCTTTCAGATGGACCAGCCCTGACCCCTGTGGCGCAGCCGGCTGGAGCGCCGCCCTGTAAGCCGGAAGGCCGTGGGTTCCGTTCCCGGTCAGGGCACTTGCCTGGTCAGGGGTGCGCACAGGAGGCAGCCGACTGAGGTTTCTCGCATTGTTGTCTTCCTCCCTCTCTCTCTCTCCCTCTCCTCCCCTCTCTCTAAAATCAATGAGCATGTCCTCAGATGAGGATTAAAAATAATAATAATTAAAAAAAAAAAAAAAGATAGACCAAAATTGAGAAAATTGTGAATGGGACTTTATCCTAAAAAGCGAAACGAGAATGTAAATGAGTTTACGTTCTGTAAAACTGAGGTGATTATGGCTGTGGGCTGACCCCTGATCAGGGAGCTGAACGTCAGTGCTATTTCTCGAACCTGAACAGGGGGACTTTTCCAACAAAAATTGTCTGGGGGCATGAAACAGTACCTGCCCCTTCACATTTGACTTCTGCACCACAGTCATAGGAGGGTTTTTATGGCAAAGGTACCTGAGGGCTCTGCCATCTTTCTCAGTCCCCTGGCAGCCAGGCTGTTCTCTGTAAAAGCCCCTGCTCGCTGCCCTCCTCCTGGGCCTTCTCTTCGTCCTTGTCAGTTGTCGGACTCGGCCACTCCCGTGCCTGTCTGTGGCTTGGCTCCTGGGTTGAGTGATGCCCCCGCATCTTCCCAGCTGACCGCAGCCGTGTGTATAGCCCCCGCCGATCAGGGGGAGCCGGGCCGCCAAAGGCGTGGGTGTGCTGGGGGCCAGTCTAAGGAGGGCGGGGCGTGTGCGTGCCAACCCGTGTTAAAGTGCTTGGCTCAGGAGTGATACTTGGTGCCATGATGACTGTTGCGTCCCCGGGCCACCGAGGGCACTAAGATTATACAATGTTCATAATGCATGAAGAGGACAGCTCGTGTGAGGCGTAGCAAGTTATGCTGGACCGAATCAGCCCAGCTGGGTTTAAAGTTGAGAAGGGCCCTTCGTGCGGTGGAGGTCGCGGGCGGAGGCGAGAAGGCCGTCCGGCGAGCGCACCAGGCCCGGTGCCTGTCGGCCTGAACCGCACACGCCGGCCACTTTCCCTCGTCCCCGGGGGCGGTGAGCCCTCTGAGGGCGGACGCTGTTGCTCGTTCACCCCGCGTCACAAGGCCCGGCACGCCTGCCGTGCTGACCCTTGAATGTGTTTTTTGTTTACGGTAAAGATTTTGTTTATTAATTTTCAGAGAGAAAGGAATGGAGAGAGAAAGAGGGAGAGAAACATGGATAGGTAGCCTCTCGCATACCCCCAACAGGAGAACTGGCGCGCAGCCCAGGCCTGTGCCCTGACCGGGAGTCGAACCAGTGACCTTTCGGTTCGCAGGCCGGCACTTGATCCACGGAGCCACACCAGCCGGGGCGTCACTGATTCTTGTCAAATATCAGGTGTGAAGTGGCACAGCAGCTGTGTCTGCAGACTCTCAGCCTTGGGGCGCTAGGAGGAAGTCCCCCCCCCCCCGCCCCATCAGTTCGTGAACTCTCCGCTTGACCGGAAATGTTTCAGGGGTTGGCGCCTTTGACAGGAGCCTGCTGAGCACGCGTTCCAGGGCGTGAGCATGGCCTTCTGCGGGCCCCTCCCCTTGGCCTAGGCCATCAGCAAAGGCTGCCCCGCTAACCCGAGGCTGCTGGTCACCTTGTCCCTCCCAGGGAGGGGGGAAGCCTCTAACTGAGTCATGTCACGGCGGGCCCCGCTGGCTGAGTGTGTTTGTGTCACCTGTAATCTGTTTGTGGTGCGGAAAGAACGGCAGACCGTGAAGAAATAGTGAGGAAAACTGCCTTTTTGTGATTTTTCTACTTCTTACATCATACCCTGGCTGAACAGCTAAGGAGCCAGAAACTGCTGTCGTAGACCTTGGTGGTGCAAACGTGGGTAAAGGGGCGGTTCCCGGGGAGCAGAGCCAGGCAGTGCCCAGGGCAGAGCCGAGAGGTGAGAGGGAGGGCTGGGCAGAATGGCCTCGCATCCTCAGCTGAGGGGCTCGGGGGTCACCTTGAAATCGGGAGCCCCGGGGTGCTGTAAGCGGAGCCATGCCAGGACCAGACTGCTCCCTCAGGCCATCCCAGGCTGGGACAGGGACAGTAGGGGGCATCCTGGAGGCAGCTGGGGCCCAGAAGAGAAGTGCCGGGCGACCAGGAGCAGGGAGTGGCGGGGGTCGGGGGACTCCGAGGGCCACCCCGGTGCGCCCGCCCCATCACTCCCTGCCGGGCGGAAGAACTGCTGGCACTCGGACTGTCTGTGGGCCTGGCGGAAGCCACAGAAACTCACGCGCCCCCTTCTGATTCCAGCAACCAGACGTCCTGGAGGAAAGCGAATCTCACTTGCAAAATCGCAATCGACAATCTGGAGAAAGCAGAGCTTCTCCAGGGAGGAGACCCCCTGAGGCAAAGGTACCTCTCTCTGTTACAAAGGCAGCACTGTGCCTGTCCCTCCCGCAGGCAGTAAGAGCGCAGGTGCGGCACGCCCTTGTTGGCATTGACCGTGAACACTTAAAAACGTGTTGTTTTGATAGATGAAAACACGGGGTCTTGTTTGCATATGGGCTTCCTTGCAGCCCGGCTTTTTTTAACATCCCACTCCCTGCTCTGGACTTCTAGGAAAACCACCAAAGAGAGCCTGGCCCAGGCGTCTAGCAGCATCACGGAGAGCCTCATGGGGATCAGCAGGATGATGTCCCAGCAGGTGCAGCAGAGCGAGGAAGCCATGCAGACGCTAGGTAAAGCCGGGCCCCGAGCAGGACGCCTCTCCCACGGACGCCGCTGCGGAGTCCTGGCCCGGCACCTGCCCCAGGCCTGCGCCCCCACCCTGGCCTCTGCCTCCCGCCGCCCCAGCTTCCTGACATGTGTGGCTTCTCACTTCGGCGGCGCGGTTTTCCCCAGAGTGGGTTGTGCTGTGCCCACCTCTCTCTGGCTTCTGTAGTTGTGCATCCCCACAGAAAGGCTTCCCCAGCGGAAGTGCGCCCTGGGGCCCATGCGACAAGCGAGGGAGCTGCAGTGCGGGCGGCAGGCAGGGCTGGGTGGGGGGCCTGGGAGTCTGCTCTTTATCAGGGGCTCTTGGGACCACCCAGGCCAGGCTGCTTGGGGACTCGTTGCCCAGTGTGTTGGCGGCCGGCTTCTCTGCCAGGGCTTTGGCCTACAATCTTACTCCCCCGTGTGGTTTTTACTCTGAACTCCTTTTAAAAAAAACTGTCAGAGGGCACAGGAGAAGTGGCTTGAGACCGCCTGGTTCCCTCCAGCCGCTTTCCCGAGGCGTCTGCCTTGTGATTCGCAAGAGAGTGGGCCTGGCTGTGTGGGCCCTCCGCGTGGCCCGCAGAATAAGAGGGTTTGTGCCTGAGGCACTTTGGGCTGATTCACACACAGACAGAGGCAGAGGACGTGGCACACGGGCCCTGCCGTCACCCAGCTCCAGCAGCTGTCGGCCAAGCCAAGCTGCTTCCGCTCTGTCCTCGCTGTGCCCCCGTCCAGATGATTTTGAGGTGAATCCTAGGCATCATAAGTATGTCACAATGTCTCTTTAAAAGACTTGAGGCAAAAAACCAAGAAAAACCCCAAAAACCTCAATACCATTATCACCCCTAAAAAGTATGCGTGATTTTGAACCCCCTTTTTTTCAGCACGCTGTTCAAAGAGGCAGGAGCAGAAGGAAAGGCAGCAGCTCGTCCCCAAGGTCACGCCCTGTGTTTGAAGCTTATCTGGGCATTTAGGCTCAGAGCTGGCCAGTCGCCTTCCCTGAACATGCGCAGCAGGCGCGGGCTGAGCTTTGGGAGAGGCCTTGGGGAACGTGGGGGGCAGGGGCACCTGGCCTCTGGGTCGGGGCCTTTCTGCTCTGGCTCAGGCTACGGGCAGCCGCCCCTGACGCGTCAGCAGCAGGTGCTGGGCTTAGGTGGCAGGAAGGAACGCTGGTGCTGAGTGTTCTGGGGTGTCGCGGACTGTTCTTTTTTCCTTTCCTTTTTTTTGAGGACTGCACTTGAGGTACATTTTGTAGGAGAGGAAGTTGTTGAAAAAATAAGAATGCAGTTTTTAATCTTTTCTCTACGGCTCACATGAATTCGGCTTAATTTAAAAGCTGGTGAGAGCCATGGTTTTTTGTTGTTGTTGTTTTTTGTTGTTTGTTTTTTAAGGCTTGTTAGGGATACGATGTCTGGGCTTTGCTGGTGGGGGTGGAGAGGGGACAGGCTGCTGGGGAGTCGGTGGCTGAGGAAGGGCGATGGGCACATGGTGTTTCATGATGTGGTTCCGCCTACTTTTGTGACGCTGGACGTGCCCTGCGGGGCAAGCTGACGAAGGACGGCCCGTGAGGTTTCCGCTTGACAGGTCCTTCCGTGAGGTTCGAAGCGCAGAGGCCTGGAGAAAGGGGCCGAGGGGGAGCTTTCTTAGTCAGTGTTTGTTCCTTCCCTGGATCTGCTTTTTCAAAGTGCTCCTCTGTTTCTTCCAGTAATTTCTTTTGTTTACTCCTCACTTTGTGAACAGGTGATGTGAGTTAGGTAGCGAAGGAGAGTCTGCTAGTCCAGCGTGTGCGAGAGAAGCACAGCGTGAGTCACCCAGGAGGCGCGTCCAACACAGGGAAACGAGACAGGAAATTAACTTTAATGACGTATTTTCCGTAGCCCACTCGATGTAAAATATTACCATTTCAACATGCAATTAATATGAAAAATTATTGACCCACTTTACCTGCCTTTTTTCTGCATACCGAGTCTTTGAAGCCATACGGGCATTTGGTACTCAGACACGTCACAGTTCGGGCTGGCCATGCCTTACACGCGCAGGTGCCTTGTGTGTCTGGTGGCTGCCCTGTCGGCCTGCACAGCCCTGGGTGGTCCGAGAGGGAAACAGGCAGGCAGCCCACCTCTGACCACCTCCTGAGCCCTGACCGCCAGGCCCACCCCCAGAGGTCACCACTGTTACCAGTGCCTTTTATGTCCTTTGAGGTCCCAATGCACGTATGGCACAAGCAAACTGAATGCTGCCCATCCTCCTCTCTCTCACTGAAGTGGACACGCCTCCCGTGCTGCTTTCACACCGTGCATTGCCCTGGAACACGCTGCCCTTTCTGGGGGTTCCGACAATGTCCTGCTTTACTTTGTAGGAGAACCTTGTCAGGTAGACCTTCCCGAAGTGCCAGGCCCAGACACCCACCCTCAGTAAAGTGACGCCTGGGCACCTGAGCCATAAGGGACGTGGGCCGCCTCCCAGGCTCCGCACAGCGTCCGGAGCGCAGGTGCCCCATCCTGGGAGCTGCAGCCGCGTCCGTACTGCGGGGCTTATTTGTGTGAGGGCTTGTGGCGGGGCCGGGCCGGCCTTCCAGGATCCCACAGCGCAGATCTGGCCGCTGGGGGTGCTGGCAGGGCACCCCTCACAGGCAGGAAGTCCTGTCCCCATACAGACCTCACAGCACCAGACCCTGGTCACCGGGATCAGTTTTGTGGCTGGCGATTCTCAGCAGCACCCGCCTGGTGCAGAAAGCTGAGGTTGATGGTGAGGGAGAACCTTCTTCTGCTCTTTTCCCTGGTGGGGCCCACTTTGGGGGCTCCTGGTTATGGTCCTGTGATGTCACGTGTAAACAGACCACCTCACTCTCTGAGCTGGAAGGGACCTAGGGAAGTGCCTTTCCTCGTCTTGTCCCTGTTTGCCACTCCGTTCGCAGCCTCTGCTTCCGCATGGGGCCCTGGCTTCAGAGAGCGGTGTTGCCCGGGAGCCCAGCCAGCAGAGCAGCCGGGTTCTTGGCTCCGCAGTCTTTGAGTCAGGCCCCGCCCTCTTATGTTTCAGTCAACTCTTCTCGGACTATCCTGGATGCCAATGAGGAGTTTAAGTCCATGTCGGGGACCATCCAGCTGGGACGGAAGCTCATCACAAAATACAATCGCCGAGAGCTGACGGACAAACTCCTCATCTTCCTTGCCCTGGCCCTTTTTCTTGCGACGGTTCTCTATATTATAAAAAAGCGGCTCTTCCCGTTCCTGTAGGACCCGAGAGCAGCCAGCGTGTGCCCTTTGAGCTCCGGCATCAGGATCCAGCGCGCTCCCGAACTCCTGCCTGGGCTGCCAACCCACCCGCCTGCCCCGGGCAGTTCTAGTTGCTCAGCAGGTCGGATGGAGACAGTCCCCCAGGTTTTTGCTGGTGGCTGCCTTGTAACGGGCGAGCAGAGCAAGGGGAGGCCTGTCGTCAGGATGCCTACAGGGACAGGGACTCCAAGAGCCATCGCGCATTATGATGGCGGCCTCGCGAGGCACTCAGAGGCCACCCTCTGGGGTTTGACGGTCCCCCTTTTCGTCTCCTGAGGTCGTGTCCCTGCCAGATCTGGTGGAGGCGGGGGAGAAGGGGGGAGAAGGGTGATGAAAACTCACGTCCATTCCTTGAATAAACTTGACTGTATTTAACAGAGTGAAATGTATTGAGTTTTACGATGTGTCCCTCCGGGAATTAGTGTGCTTCTGTGCTCCGTGTCCAGGTTTCTTGGACGCGACCTTCAAACATTTATTAGTGCATCCAACAAGCAGTAAGAAGCCACAGCCACACGCAGCAGCTTAGAGGTGCAGTGACTGTTACAAATGCGTTGATAAAGCAGCCACGGTCCCCCGAGGAGCAAGAAGAACGAGAAGCCACAAGCACCAAGGAAGGAGCGCGACAGCGCCCATAGAGGCGCCCACCCAGCGCTGAGCAGGCCGAGGCCACCGGCAGCCTGGGCAGGCGGGGGTGCAGCGTCCCAGGGGCTGGCCCGCACCGTTCTCTTTGAGGTCCAGAGCTAAATGGAGCCCGGGAGAGCCAAGCCAGCGATAAGCGGAGGCTGGTCTGGGTCTGAGTTCTGCTGAGGCCAAGGGGACAGGGCCCTGGCGAGCCCAGGCTGGAGGTGCTGGTGTCGCTCTGGCCGCAGGCCCGGCTCGCCTTGCCCAGGAGCCTCGGCCTCCCTCAGTATTTATAGCCCTGGGGCCCAGGGGAGGGTAGCGTGGAGGCAGAGGGGAGAGTGGGCTTGAAGACTTGGTTCTGAGCCTTTGCCCTACTATTAATGGACCACATGGCCATGGGCAAGTGTCATGCCGCTGAGCCTCAATTTTCCCACCTGTACCATGGGGGCTGTTTATCTAGACACTTGCTGTCAGTTTGAGAATCAAACGAGAACGTAAAGCAGCAAGTGCAGCTTCCGTGTGACTGAGCACATGCGGAACTAGGGGCCCGAGGTCCTGCGGCAAACAGCCAGGGCTTCGCGGGGAGCTGGCCTGGGTGTCCCAGGTTCTGTCGGGTCGGCGAGCAGCGGGGCCGCAGGTAAGGCCTCGGGTCTGAAGTGCCAGCTCATCACGGGACCACGTCATGACTGGCTACATTCTGCAGACTGCCTGGTTTAATGAGTAGGCTCTGAGTTAAAGTGTGTGTGTGCGCATTCACACTTTACACATATCATCCGCAAACAATTCCTGGCCCCAAAAGACACTGGGTGCAAATTGGGTGCGCGTGTGTCTTATTTATAGTCAAATTGAAGCTGAGAATAAAGCACAGATGGAAAATTCCCGCTCAGGTTCCAGCGGTAAGGACAGCAGATGGATGTTATCAAGTTAGGAGTTTCTTGTCTTAACATTTTTCTTTACTCCTTCCCACTAATTGTCAACATCCTCCTCACAATATGGAAGTGTGTGGGCTCTGTACTCCTAAAAATTCTCCCTTTGACACTTTATTCCTCTTTTACTTGCCTCTTGAAAATAGTGTTGAATTTGACCCATTCTGAAATGCCATCGATAACATTTATCTTACAACCCCACACAGCCACCGGGGTTAGAAGTCACCCGCAGCCAGCTGGCTGCGCAGGAAGCAGCCTGCTCCACGTTCCACCATGAGGGGGCACTGTTCACATTCGCTCCATGGACTTGGCCAACCCTTCCATCCACGTGAAATGCTCTTAGGGATTTTTTTTTTTTAACAGATACCAGGTTTTTAAAAAAAAAAAAAAACATACAAAGCTTACTTATATATCTTGTTTTTGGAAGCCATTTCATAAATCACTTTAATTTTCACTGTTACACAATAAGACAAGCTTGCATTCTACATTTTAATTAGCTGGCAGCGAAGGAATTAAAAGTAGAGAGCGGACGAGAGACCTTCCCTTCAGTTCTTCACTCGGCACCCACTTTGTGCCAGGCTCTGTGTCCGGGGTCCCAGCAAACAGGACAAAGAACCCCCGTCAGCCTGGAACTTACAGGATGTGCGGGAAGGCCAGGGAGGTGATTAACGGTTAACATGCCGAGTAAGTTATTCATTGTGTTAGAAAACAAGTGTTTGGGGGGAAGCGGAGCAGGCTAATGAGCACCTGGGATGTAGCGCTGTGGCCAGCGTTGGCTCGTTGAGGAGGTGAGGTGTGAGCAAAGGCGGGTGGGCAGGGTCGCACCACACACACACACACACACACACACACGCAGTCAAAGGGGAGCAGGCTCCACACACGGACCCACCAGAGCAAAGGCCCCTGGTGGAAGCGCCTCTGATACTGTGATTGATAGTAATAAGTATATATTTGGCCTTGGTCCTGTTTCTGGCACAGAGCTCCTGAAGCCCTGGGAATTTCCTGTGAGGAGAGTAATCAACATGTCTTGTTATGTTAATGGAGCGACTTTTGGACCCCGCCCCAGGATGGGGGCTGGTTGCCAGAGAAGCCCACCCTGTGATTAGAGGGTTGAGGCTTTCTGTTCCAGCCCCCACCTCTGGGGAGGGGAGGGACTGGGGAAGGAATTCAGTCACCGATGGCCAGCGATGTAAGCCATCAGGCCTCTGTGACTAAGCCTCCGTGGAGTCCCAAAAGGACAGACTCCGGGAGCTTCTGAGGTGGTGACCACCCGAGACTCCAGAGTGTGGGGAGGGGGTGCGTGGCAAGCGCCTGGAGGCCCGCACCCTTCCCTGCACCTCGCCCTCCGCATCTGTTCCACCTGCCTCCTCCTGAGTTACAGCCTTTTGTAATAAACCGGTGATCTCGCGAGTGCTGTCCCTGAGAGCTGTGAGCCGCTCTAGCAAATCATGGGAACTTCCAATCTGTAGCCCGTTGGTCGGAAGCACACGGGGCAACCTGGACCTGGGCCTGGCGTCTGAAGGTGGGGGGCAGGGGCAGTCTCGTGGGACTGAACCTTCGACCTGTGGGAGCGGACGCTCTCTCCAGGTGGCTAGTGTCAGAACTGAGTGGAATTCTCCAGTCTCCGACACCAGCTGGTGATGCGGAAAAAACCCACACGTGACATCTGGGCGCAGGAACTAAGCATGTCTGGTTTACTTGGGGAGCAAGTAGCAAGGAAGCCCCTGTGTCTGGATCAGAGTGTGAGGAGTGGGGAGAAGCAACAACAGAAGCCAGAGAGAGAGTAGGGGACGGAGCAATGAAAGGCCACGGAGGAAGGACGGGCCTTGTACTCCCCGAGACACAAGGAGCCACGGCAGGGCTTTAGGGGTTAATAGCAAGGTGAAGGGGACAAGGGCGGAACAGAGAGATCAGATAGGAGGACAGTTGCCTCCGTCCAGGTGGCAGGTTATGGCTTGTACCTGGCTGATAGTGGTAGACACAGAGTGGTAGTCATGTTCCGGATATATTTTGAAGATAACACTAACTGGATAGGTTTCCTGAAGGAACGGTTATCATTCTTGAAGGAATGAGAGCAAAAAAAACTAGATTTTTGGCCTGAGTAACCAAAGGCGAAAGAAGATGGGGAGTTGGATGCTGGACACTGGGTTTAGGACGTCAGACAGCCACTTCGCGGGCACAGGGGGCCGGTGGCTGTGTCCGTCTGAAGTTTGGGAGACTCGTCCGGGCACGAGGTGCAAGTTGGGAGGTCTCTGTCCTGTGGAACTTACAGTCAGTGGGTCGGATGGGATGGCCCAGAGATCTGGGTATAGATAGGGACGAGGTAAGAACCGAGAGAGCAGAGCAGCCGGCCAGCAGGGCTGCGGGGCGGCCAGAGCCCCAGCAGGCGCCCTGACTTGCTCCGCTTCCTGGGGAGTCTGTTCTTTTAATCCCCACAGCAAGAGATCTGCTTTATCTTCAAGAATCTGTTTTTCATCATCTTCTTCATCATTGTCATCACTGCCATCGCCATCAAAAGTGGACACAGCACGATCAGAGCGGACTTTTCGGACGCCTTTGACAATCAATATGGAGTCCCTCTCGGCCATGACAGTTATGTCAAGGGCTGTGTCAAGACGGAGGTAACGGGTGTAAGGGAAGTGCCCTCAGGAAGGGCCTAGAATGGCCACAACTGCAAGTCCGGACACTGGATAAGGACTCCGTCTGAGTGGGACCTGTCTGCCCGCCATGGGCTGTAAGAACTCAGAGCTCCGACCGCCCACCACTCGAGCTCAGCTGTGCCCGGGGTCCTGTGCGGAGCCCTGCCGGACTTCCCCTGCGCCGGACACATGCCACCTCTGCAGCCACCTGGCTTGAGACCGACGCCCGCCTCTCCACCCGCAGACACGGCCAGCGCACAGGACTCCACGGCAGGCACTCGTTCTGCTCGCTTCTATCCTGTAAGCTCCCCCTCTGGGTGCGTGACCTGCGTGTGCCTCTACTGGCTTCCTGGGGTGGTCTCCCCTACCAAACCTGGCCTCGCAGGAAGTCACAGACGTGTGAGGCTTCTTTCGGGGATATTCCCTTGCACATGACAAAAAACATCTAATATTGGTCAGGTTCCCGCTGTGTGTTAGACACCTGGGGATGACACAGAGATGTGAGGCCCCGCCCTTAAGGACAGTACCGGTGGCCTGGTCTGGGGCCAGAGCCCATGCTCTGTGTCCTGGTGCCTGTGTCCTGCTGCCACAGAGGCTCTGGAGGGAAAGAGCTTCCTCTGGGCCAGGACATTTCACTGCCCGGCCCCTGCGCACGGCTCCGCTCCCTCACCCCCACTCCCCGTCCCCCTCAGTCTGCCTTCGGCTACCATCAATGTCGCCGAGACAGGCCTTGCCAAGGTCTTCGGTGACCTCCAGGCTGCCCATCTGGAGCACGTTTGCCCCCACTCTCCTCGTTTCAGCAGCGGCGGGCCCGCTGGCCGCCGGCTCTTCCCAGAGACCTGTGACCGCAACACTCCCTTGTTTGCCTCTGGCTCCTCGACAGCTGCTGCTCACTCTCCCTCCTTCACCTCCTGCTCAGCCCTCGACGCTGGACGGCCTGGATCTTCCCTCTTCTCCCCTATACAGTCTCTCAAGGACAAGGCCACCCGTGTCCCCACGGCTTTAACATCCTGGGGGTGAGCATACATAGTTCCAAAGTGGGAGGCCACTGCAGACCCCTCCCCAGCGCCATTCAGGGGTCCGAGGCTCCCGCCTCTCACCGTAGGCCCTGCCCCAGCCTTCCCTCTCAGCTCGAC